ATCGAATGCTCCCCATTTTCTGAATCTCACAGCACGGCTGTGCCACAGCTCCTGAGCCCCACCACTGCAGGGTCAGCTGCTGCTCCATTTGCAACAACATAAGGGCACTGTTACAGAAGCCCAGCTTTGTGCCAGCACTCACTTTGACTATTGAATAATTTGCAAAATAAAAGCCAAGCTTAAGACAAAGTAAGTGGAAACTATATATTAGAGAAAGGCACCTGAACTCTAGTTGACTCCGAAGTCAGCTGTTGGAAGAGTATTTTTATTGTTTCCTTCATGGAATCATAGAATGATTTGGGTTGGAAGGGGTCTTAAAGATCATCCAGTTCCAAACCCTTTGCCATGGACAGGGACACCTTCAACTAGACCAGGTTGCTCAAAGTCCCATCCAACCTGACCTTGGCTTTTCTCTTACCATAGGAAGTTCTAAGGCAGCAAGTGTATGAACAAGTCTCACATAAGACATAGTTTGCACTGAAAAGGTTTTGCACCTCCAAGTCTGGCCAGCTGTGCCAGAGCACCTCCTGGAGTGAAAAAACCCACCTCCCTTTGCAGGCTCTCCTCACTGCCTACACAACACAGCAAGTACCAGCAGCCACTTATAAACCAGGGAGGGACAAACCTTTTCACACTATGAGCTGCTTTCATCCTTACTTTCCAGCTCAAGGAGCAGACAGGAAGAGGGAAAAACAGGGGGTCAAGGTGGCAGAAACAGCCCTCACCCAAATGGAGGTAAGGGCTGCTCAAGGCTAACAGGCACTACTGTTTCACGTAATGAGCAATCACAGAATATCCTGAGTTGGACAGGACCTGCAACAGGGCTCAAAGGCACAGCTATACAGACTTCTTCTAGCATCCCATTTGTCAAGAAGAAACCAGAGAATTTACACCCAATTAATATTCACATTTAATCCAAGCCTGATATATATCACTATTTTCTTGCCCAGTTAATGTACAATTTATCCAGCTTTGCCTGTAGAATAGAGCTCTCATCCATTAGATCTGGACTCCCTCAAGAGAAACTTGATTTAACTTAATGAGAATTCTTGGCCTCCTGTTGGTCTCTTTAGCAGCCAGAGATTGTTTTCCCTGTTTGGTCCTCAAACAGCAGCTATGCACTATTACCTTACTCAACTAAAGAACAAAAGACTCAGAATTTATATTTGTGCTAGCATTTCCAGAAACATCCCTTCTGCTTGCATCAAAATCACTGCAAAGGCTTTCAAATGAAACATCTTGCATCCTACAACCAGTGAACAGCTCTCTAGTGAAAAACCTGCACTGGTACCAGGCAGACTTGACATGCATTTTAGAAGTTTTGTGCTTATTTTTCTAACATCTTTTATTACCATTCTGATTTTGTTATAACTTCCCTCTAGTTACCTGGATTGGGTGGTCTATGCTGTATCCTCACATCACATCCATAAAACAATGCCCGACTTAAATTTCTTGTGAAAGGAGGACTTCTTGAGAGTCTCTCTCAGAGGAATGGAGAAGGGTAACCCCAGAATCTGCAACAATGCATCCTGCCTATAATTTCAGGTAAGTACATTTTACCTAAATTAGAAGTACTGAAGGAATACACAGAGAGAGAGAGGTAAGTATATAGTTGCTACTACGTGCTGTCAGAGCCATTTCATCACACTCCAGATGACCTGTAGCAATACTGTGGTACATGTCAGAAGTACACATTGCAATTCAAATTACGAAAAAGATAAGTTCACTTTCATTACTAATGGAATGTGTATAACAAAGACACATCAAATTTCCTAACTATAGGACAGTGGTCACTTACAGCAATGTAGGTTATTATATACAGTGCTCTGCATGTTTTAATGTAGATGTCAAACAGAAAGCATGAACAAACCTCATTTCTGAGCCTTCATTACTGTCTTAAGAACCAGATGGTTTTACATAAAGCCTTTTATTTCTGCCATATTTCAAACTCAGACAGACATTAACAAGCAACTTGTCATAATGCTCTGAACCCCCATCAGATGGACATATTTCAGTACCAACATCATGCCCGTTAGCACAGCAACCACACCCACCATTCCCAGAGGAGACTCTGGGACAGAGTCTTTCTTGGGAGACTTAATCCCCTGAGGAGATTCCCCTTTGATTTATATAATGACATTGCATTTCCAGTTCCAAATCCTAAAAAATAGTCTCTTTTTTCCTTTAGTCTACATCTGTCAAAAGCCTGATAGTCCAGTGTTTCACACTCAGAGAAGGGTTTAGAGTCTTAACCTTTTCAGAATTAATTGCATTTCCCATATCCATCAGAAGATATTTATTGGAGAAATAAATTTGGCCAATAAAGTGATATGCTGCTTTAATTCTTTTTAAACGAAATAGGCAAGAAAGGGTTGAGAGTCAGGGTTGCTCACTATCATGTGAAGGAAAAACAACTCAAAGGACAGAGGATCCAAACTGGTGCAAATGAAACTTCTTTCAGCTTGCACATGGGCACATCAACAGTACTGGACACAGACACCAATACTAGGCTAGCCCAGAGCCACTTTTCATCTTTAACGCTTGTGAGACATTTTTATTGAGAAGTAAAAATAAAAGGAATGGTAAAAATACAGAATTATCCAGAGAGCAAATACACTGAAGAAAGATGCTATTCCTCTTCTACATCAAGAGCACCCTGGGGCCTGCAAGCCCAGGACACGTGACACTTAAAAAGACATGGGAAACAGAAGGCTGTGGGAAGGCAAGTCATAAGGCTATTCCTTGTACTTGCCAAAAAAAATGTCACCACATCTACACTTTACCACAAAAAGCTGAGGATGAGGGTCAAGTGTCAGCATGGGGGGTAGAAACAGGCAGCCAAGAAAGAAGAGGTGGGCAGATGCCTGTGGGGTCTGCCATGAGGGAAAAAAAAAGAAAAAGGTATCTTACAAACCTGTTCACTACAAGTCCCACATTCATAACTGTTTCCAAATGGAAGGCTGTGAAAAGCCAAAACAAACATTCCCAATTCTTTTTGAACCCAACAGACAATATAGGAAAAATATGTGCATTTTATGGTTTGAGGGCACAACCTTTTAATTATGTGTTTGCATTGTCATGTCCAAGACCTTTTTTCTCCTCAAAAATTAATATTTCCTCAAGCAATGCAGCTATTTATCTTGGATGAACATAAATTGAAACGGAATCTGCCTGTGCAGAGAGGCTCAGAAGGGTTAGAACATGACACCTAGGGGAATTCAGAACGCACTGCAATGCAATCATCGTCATTTTTCTAGGGCCTTTTCAACTCGTTTCCCTACAGTTCTTAAGAGTTTCCAGATATTGTTTTTCATTATGTGCATGTGCCGAGGCACTCAGAAAATAGAGAACAAGTACAGGTAGTGGGGAAGGTCGGGAGAAACTGAAGAAAAGAATTTCCTCTGTACCAGAGCTGAATGAACAGCAGTTCCTGGCATCTAAGAGCAGCAAGTGTTCTGGCATATAATCACCTCTCATTTCTCTGTGACAGAGCACAGCCTCATGAGCTGAGGAAAATGTCAATCAACTGCTTTTGCCCCTAAAGACTTATACCTGAAGAAAGACTGTAAAGTAATTGTTTACAAATGATACTTAAATTAAAATATATTGAGGCATTACAAGAAAATCCAGGCCTACTTTGGAAAATACATTGCATTTAGTCATAATTTGGGCTCTCAGAAAACTTACATCTAGTCTTCAGGCATCAACTTTCCCCTCTTCAAGTCTTACAGACTTAGTTGGCCAACAATTCACACAGTAACTTCCAAAACATGCATAACAGCAATAATAGAAGCAGAAATAGCAGAGCTCATTTTTACTTAATTACTTAATGCATAAGTAACTGCTAAACCACCAAGAGGACACTGAAGGTGGACTTTTTCCATAATCAATCTAATTATTATTTCACAATAGAAAAGGGTTTCTTGCACACACAACATATTTCAAGCTAGAACATAAGAAAAATAAATGCTTCCTACCGAATTTACTCAACCTATCACAAACATGGGCCTAGCTTGGTGTGAGTGCCAATGAACAGCTATTTTATCAAACACTGTGCAACAGCATACTAGGAGGGAAAATACAGGCTTAGTCACTCCATGAGAATTCTGACATCTGCAAAGATTTCAATGAGATACTTTTGGGCAAAACCAGCTGGGCAGCCAGGTCTGGGTTTAGTCATGGGTGAAATTTCCACACAAACTAACACTCACAGGCCTTGAATGTCCTGCCTTGTAAGGGTGAAAACTTCCCCCTTGTGACCTCAACTTCATTTCTCTGTTGATTAAGCTGAATTTCAGCTGCGCCTTACAGCTCACTGTCCCCAGGTGTTGCAATCAGGGAGAGCAAGGAACACCCTCTCTAAGTAAAAGAGTATTATTTGCAAATACTTCAGCTTTCAGAAGTTTGCCTGGAAAGTATTGTAGTGTGGACTCAAGATGTTCTGTTACGAAAGGAGGGGGAAATAGAAATGTGAAATGTGTTCCAAATGAATCCCAAAATTTTGAAATCTATGAGGCACAACTTGACCAGAGAGACCTGTGAGGTTTCCCATTGGGTCACTTGCCTATACTGTAAATCCTTACTTCATTCAGGAGGCCATACTCAACCCCAGCATTAAAAGGTAAATTGTACAAGGCCCTCATCCCCCACTGAAGTGAATTACAAGGCAAAGCAGTGTGACCTACAACTGTTTTGTAACCCAGCAGAAACATCCCTTTTCTTCTTTGTATACCAGTGATGGCAGTATCATTTCTATAACCTCAAAAAAATTAAAAATAGGACAAGAGACAGTCAGATTTCTCAGTCAAAGTGTTACTTTCAAACTTACAATCCACAAGTAAAAATTCAAGATAAAACAAAACAAAAAACCCTCTTTGGGCAAACCAGACGGGCCAATATGTTTCTCTCTGTTTCAATGTGCACAGGTACCAGTGCTTTATTTAGCTGCAGCAGCAAAAGCTCAACTCAACCTTGGCCACAAAAATACTTGAAAACTCTACATACTTACCATTATCACAGTGAGGGTGATGGTTTGTCTTAAAACACCTCTGAAAAATGAGATAGCTCCAATGGCAGCAGAGACCTATACCAATCCATATTCCATATTTACTAGTTTGGACACCAATTAAGGAAACAAGGATCAGTCCCATCATCCTGCCATACAAAGCTCCTCTGCACCTGTATACAAGGAGAAAAAGAGCAATCCTTTTGCCAGTGGTGGTGTTTTCTGGAAATGCTTTAACGTTCTTTTCATCCCAGATTAATTTTGTCAGGTTCTGTAGCAACTACTTTCCTACAAAAAAACTCTAACAACCTTCCTTAGTATTACCATTTACTTTATGCCAATCACAAGCATGGAGCTGACAGATTTACCACCTTTTTCTGAAGAAAAAGGACTAACACCATGTCTGTCTCCATGTCCTTCCAAGCACAATAAGAATAGGTGACAGAAAGACACACTGAGATATCTCAGATTAAAAGGCCACATTTTAAGAACTCCAGCCTTAGATAATTTATCAAAATTAAGTCTGCATTCGCTCCATAAACCTGGCAAGTAAAATATTACAGTCATATAATAAATGGGCAAAAAGGAGTAATAGGTATTAATGACTTGGCCAAAAGTAACCAAGAATGAAGTTGTGAAGAAAACCCAGGAGTCCTCCAACCTATACTGAAGAGCTAAGCCAAAATGTAGCTCAGTTGTGCAGGCAATTGCTGATGTGATACACAACATTCCATCCCATATGCAAGGAATTAGATATGAAGACTCAAGTGTCAGACAATGAATGGGATTTGTGCATTCACTTCCCAGAAATTATGAATTATTATTAATATTCATATTCATACAATAATAATTTTAATGATATATATTATATAGTTATTTAATTTCTGACTGTGCATGGGGGGAATTAGCTCAAATGGTAGAGCGCTCGCTTAGCATGCGAGAGGTAGCAGGATCGATGCCCGCATTCTCCAGCATCCTGTTTTGCTGAGCAAGGGGCTGGAGAGCAGCACTGCAGGAAGGGCCCCAGGGGTGATGCAAGCTGAACATGAGCCAGCAGTGCCCTGGCAGCCAGGAGGGCCAAGCACGTCCTGGGGCCATCAGGATCAGCAAGGCCAGCCAGGTAATGGAGGGGACTGGCCCACTCTCCTCTGTAGCTTCACCTCAGCCTCACCTCGAGTGCTGTGAGAAGTTTTGGGCACCACAATATAAAAAAGGCATTAAGCCCCTACAGAGCATCCAAAGGAGGGTCACAAGGGTGGTGAAGGGTCTGAAGAGGAAGCCTCATGAAGAGTGGCTGAAGTCACTTGGTCTGCTCAGGCATGAGAAGAGGAGACTGAGGGGATACCTCATTGCAGATTGCAATGTCCTTGGGAGGGGAAGGAGGGATGGACACTGATGTCTTCTCTATGTAACCAGTGACAGGACTCAAGGGAATGGCCTGAAGCTGTCAGAGAAGGCTTAGGTTGGATATTAGGAAAATATTTTTCACCCAGTGGGTGGTTGGGCACTGGAGCAGGCTTCCCAGGGAAGTGGTCAGAGCACCAAACCTGACAAAGTCCAAGAAGCATTAGGAAAATGCTCTCAGGTATGATTCTTGGAGTGTCCTGTCCAAGGCCAGAAGGTGGACTTTGATGATCTTAGTGGGTCCTTTCCATCTCAGGATATTTTATGATTCTATGATTTGAGGAGCATCATCTTGCACCATTACACGACTTTTTCCCATTTTTTCATACAACTGATCTATTTGATTGATGGATAAAGTTCTGGAATAGTTTTTAAAACCCTGTGTAGTTCTAGACTGGTTATAAAAATTAGGTTATTGGTCAAAAACATGAGTGCTCACTGATAGACTCAACTGTCTATATCAATTCAGCCAAGTATACCATGTTTCAGCATACACTGCCTATTAAAAATTGATTTAAATAACATTTTGGGGAGGGTAGGAGGTGAATACACAGAGGTAGGGCAAAGGCAGGAGGTTCTGCACACAACCAATTCTTTTTATATTTTTTCAATATTCTTGAATGGCATATGCACTCTCCAGCCATGGCCCCTTGCTTGCTGAACATTAAGCCTCTCAACATTGCTGCAAGAACCTTTCTGTAGTCCACAACAACTTTCTAAAAACTACGACAAAGACCCAGCTGCAGTTTTCTCCAAAGTTCAGGGTGTTATGTCCAAGATTTAGATTTAGGCTATTACATACATAAGAAACAGATGAAAAGTCTGGATCTGAACCTATAGTGCTACAGTTACAGAGATGGAGCCAGAAGCTGAGACTCTTTCTGGATCCCCAAAATATTCAAATGATCTACACTTGGAAAGTCCACAGTTCTGGCTATGGTCCTTCCACAGCTATTCTCAGATTATATTTATTCATTCTTTTCCCCAGTTTTAGCATCTCTTTCCAAGTAACCCATCCTGTTCTACCTATACAGCTTCCTCCACTTGGCTCTTTGCTATTGCCAGGTTTCATCCTACAATTCAGATTGTTGCTACTTGACATTGGCCTTTCGTACAGAAAGCACAAACCAGGACTGAAGTGAAGTGCAGGAATAACCAGGCCGCTGGCAAGCCCAGAACCTGCTGTTCAAAAGCCAAGGATGAAACAAAATGTCAAAGCAATGCAGAGGGATGTGCATCCAGATTCTTCATGAATCCCACATTTAAAAAGCAATGTGATTCCTTGCTTCCCACCCTCAACTGGAAGCACAGCATCTGCCACACAGAGGAAGAGACATGCAGAGATACAAAACATTAAAAGGTCCTTTTACAAAAATGCAGTTTGTAGTAGTTCTCATTTGCCTTGACCTTATTGTTAAAAAGCAATGAGTTTACATGACAGCTTCAAGCATCTGGGGCACTTCCAGGAAAACAACAAATATATGATCTCTCCAGTCTGGTCTGTATGATGTTAATCCTGATCTAAATAAGGAGAAACTGCAGCAATTTAAGCCAAAGAAAGGCAACTGAATGACTTGAGCAGAACTCCTGTCCCCCTTGGTTTCAGAGGTAGCAACTCAGGATCTTCCCAGCATATTTGTCTCAATTAGTTTTGATATGTCAGAAGGGAGTATTACATTACTTGAAGAAAACCTTGAGCTAATTGAACTGAATTGAATTGAATTGAGTTGAATTGAATTGAATTGAATTGAATTGAATAAAAAAAATGAGTGAATATGCTTCAATATACCCTCAAGTTATTTGAGTTTCTTCTCAAGTATCAGTCATGTAACTCCCCTTGATTGAAGGCCTGATTAGAATATCTGACTCCATCTGGGCTAATCCATACACTTGATAAACAGCTTGTTTCTGAAATTTCTCTCTTAAGCTGATTTATGCTTAAATATTAGAAGCAAAACAAAAAAAAAATATTAAATGGATGAATATAACTTGCTTTGCTGCCTGTACAGAACATGTCGATTTACACAAAAAGCCAACTTTCCCTTAAAAATGTCAATTAAGTTGTTTTGTTAACTTATAAATCTAGTTTACTAGTTCAGTTTGTTATTTATTGTGCTAATCTATCTGGTTTATTAATGCATATATTCCTCTACATAAAGTTCTGGCTGCTGAAACCCTAAATTCCCAAAACCAGGAATTACTTTATGCTGTCTAAACACAGAAAATGGGGGGGGAAATATTAAAATTCATAGAGCCTGGCCTTGACCACCTTTCCCACACAACACTGTAACTCTATCAAAGGGGATTATCTGACCAAGAATTATCATTCTTGAGGAGCACTTTGGTGGATAAGTACAGCACTCAGAGCTGAGAGTGCATTTGCAATTAGAAAGCTTTGCACTGGAGAGCACCATGGGGAGCTGGAAAGACTTAGAGGTTTCCTCTTCCACAGCAGCACAGACTATACTCAAACCACACCTCAAAGACATCTGTCCCATGCATTCTTAAAGCTGTCCTTTGGTAAACACTGGCAGCAGCTATTTCAACATTTTGCAAATTAGAGTGCCGGTTATCATGCTGGCCACACCAGCCTTTCTGTACAGCTCTGCTATTCCTGGACGCTTTCTCAATCTCTGTCATCTGGAACAACTGAACTCTCCAAGCAGGTACAGCTTCCTTCTTCCACTCTGGAAAGCAGCCGGCATGTTTTGGACATCACCACAACCTACACGGTAGCAATATGAACTCTGTTCCTGGAACAAAGAGCAGGAGATCTGTGGTATTTGACCCACCTGGTCTCTGCTCAGAAATACAAGGAAAAATTAAAATGCAGCCAACATCTAGTGCAAGAAAATTTCTTCCAGACCCCAGACTGGCAACCAAAGGGACACAAGATACTTCCCAGTCTCATATTTGCTTTTTACATTATTCCAACCTCTCAAACAAGAATATATTCCAAATTCATAATGGTCAATAAAAGAAGAAAAACCTGATTACTCTGCCCTGGTTTCAAATCCATATAATTATGTAACTCACTTATATCAAAGTCTCGAGATGTATACATATGTCTTTGTTACCAGTAAAGGAATGCACACTCAAAAAACAGCACATCTGAGAAGCAATTCGAAGCTTGCAGCAGTGCCAAAATAACTGAGAGAGAAACAGAAGAAAGTGGGGTTCTACAATTAAAGTACGAATAGTTGAGCAAGAAGAGCAAAGCACAGGGTGGAGGTGTAGGGCTTGCTTACACACAGGGTTTTGTACCACTAACTCATCCTGTTTGAAGTCAGTGCATTTAGTAAAGACAGATTTCTCCCTGGTGGCAACAGGAGGACTGCACTGCCACGCTACAAGAATACATGCACAGCACTGAGACTTACTGGTGCAAAACCCCCATTGCTTCTTAACCCCATTCTTTTGCTTTCCCATGACTTCCTATTCCTCCTTCTCCAAGGAATATCAATGCCTGCCGGAAGAGCTAAAAACACTACCAAAAGCACTGTTCAGTGTAAATGTGTGAGGAGAAGCTTTGATAAATTGAAGTGCTGTCATGATGGCAGAGGGACACACAGCCCTACCTGGAGCTGCAATCTTTCACTATCACAGTTTAAAAGCAAAACCATACACTTGACTGAGTTCAATCAGTACACAAGACAAAATTCAGCGTCTTACAATTTCTTTGTTATTTGGTTCTTATTGCATCTCTTAAAGTGGCAAGTGTGCTTATTACTAATCCACTGGATCTCAAAAGTGTAATTATATTTATCTGCTTCTGGAGTATTGACTGATAATCTCACATTACACTGAGATGAGCCAAATTTAAATGGTCCTAACTAAAGTCTTACAGCTGCAATCATAATTCCCTTTTTCAATTCCTAAGAAAAAGAGAAGAGTGAACAAGCTTCTTTTCCACATTTAGTCTTATTACAAGCTCATTAGAGACATCATCACTACCTTCAGCACGTGCATGACCTTTTGAAGTCCAGAACAATTTGATGCTTAATTCCTTTCAGATCTATCCAGTTTCAACATGATGTACTCTTTATAACTTGTAGCCCCACCAAATGAAAAATGGACACGAAGACCATCAAGCCTCTAGGCTGGATCAGCCTGACTATTTTTTATTCAGAGACAGACAAATAATTACTGTGGTTTCAGATGTTTTTCCTTAACAGCAAAAAATAGTTTTGTTTTGAAAAATAACATTTTGCAAGCATTTAGTCCTTAAAATAAAGAGGAAAAAAAAAAGTATGTCAGAGTGAGGGAAAAGACTTTTCCTCTAGCAACCCAAATAGCCATAGATACCAAGTCCTGGTACTAAGTGACAAAGGCTGCTTTTATAAAGAAAATGTAAATACACGTTATATATCATATTGCTTTTACAAACAATACTAAATCAATTATTACAAGTCAAATAACAGACTAGAGTTGGTGGCAAGCATGGGAAAGCATGTGTCCTTTCTATATACTTATATAAGCTGTTTAGAATTGTCCTGGTTCTGGCCCAGAGCAGTGGGATGGGGTGTGGCAAAGACCTTGTGAAATTTAATAACATTTTACATCAGGGTCATCTGAAAAGCCAGGGACAGGGGAACAGGGCTCTTTTTCTTCCAAGAAGGAGTAAGCATGGAAGGCATAGGGTCTGCCCACCATTGTTTTTCATTGACTTGAGTTCATGAACATTTGCCATGTAAATCACCCTCTCTTTGAATATTTTTGTTATTACTATAGTTGCTGTTACTGTTCGTTTCCTTAGCTCAGTGCAATTTCCAGTAAATTGTTCTTATTCTGTGATTTCTGCTTTTTTCTCCACCAGAGAGGGAAGGGGAGCATCTTGTGCTTTTTAATGAGAGTACTTAATTGGGGAATACCATTGCTAAACCATTAAATTAGTCCAGTCACTAATGGCAAGCTAGTCAGTATTTACAGTTTGTTTTATGCAACATATATATGATGCTGCCCATGTGGACAGATGTATAAATAGATTTTACAAATTTATGAATTTGCAAAAATCAAAGATGGCAGTGGCCATTTGCAATGGCTGTGAAATCAAGCTGTCATTTAACCTCAGTCTAAGTAAGTCTTTTTCTACTTCCTCTGGATTCCTCATATATATTGCTTCAGAAATACACTTGTACTGCAAAGCCTGTATCAGATTCAAGGATCTCTTCAGCTGTTTAACCACAAAATCCCAAGCCATTCAGCCACATATTCCCTGCCTGTTTATTAACACAATACTTACCATTTTAAATTCCTGGATTATAGTTTTTACTGGGTTACTTTTCATGCCCTCACAGAGAGGACTGATCAGATAATGTCCTTCGGCCAACTGGAGCTGAGAATAATAAAGATTTTTCATCAGTTTCCAGTTCCAGATTTCCAACTCAAGCACAGTCTGTCTGCTATAGACTTATATACCTAAGTACAAGGCCTTTATGTTTTGTAAAGCAGAATTAGGATTCCAAATTGAAGAAGAACTTGCATGATACATCCAGCCACCTTTCATGCTCTTTTACATGTTTAGATCCTTTTTGTTTCTTTCATTCTCCTCTCCCCCCCCCCACCCCTTATTTTGACATGTTAGCAAATGCCTCTCACTGGAAAACTTTAAGTGTGATTAATTTTCAGTGATTAAAAGATTAAGGATTACTTTTGCCTCTACATGAATTCATTTTAAATACTGAGGTCTGACACACCTTTGAATTTTTTCCATCTGAAATCTTTGTAACAGCTAACTGGAAGAAACACATAGATATGCTCATGGTGATCCTCCCCACTTGTGTTTCTGAGCTGTTTCTCATGTGGCAATTTCTCACACTCAAGACAAGAGTGCAAGGAAGGAAGTACAGTAGATATCCTGTAATAGGTGTCATGCATACCTGCAGGCATTAAGTAAACGGTCCATTGTGAGATGTAAAGTTGAACAAAACAAAGAAAGAAAAGTGTCTAAACCCACTAATGCCATCACTTACCCCAAGAAAATTGCCCTTTTGTCCTGCCCATGTATCCCACATTTGCTCATAAGCAATGAGTAAGGCTGAGATTCATCCAATCCAGCTTCACTGTTGCAACCACACAACCGGACTCTGACTGTGGCCAGCAGAGAGCACTGGTACCTCCAGGAAGATTTGGAGCACATGGAATGCTCTACACACTGCCAGCCTGCCCACCCTGCACCGTGGCATATGGAGGAGATGCAGCCAGACCGAGTTCTTTGCAGGGTGCCACTTGTGCACAGCAGGGACATCTTTCATTATGGTTTTTTTCCATTGGTACTTAAAAGCATGCTGTGTGTCAGAAAGGGTCCATTATTTCAATTTAAATTCATCCCCATTTATGCAAATCTGAAGTTCCTGGTCAGTAGGAACAGTTAAAGACTTATTTCTAGCTTGCAAACTCACTGTTTCCCTTCTCTCATGAGGATGTTATGACAGGATTAATATCCAGTTAATCAACAGAAAAAGTTCCTAGACATCCTAGCAAGACTAGACAGCTATAAAGCCTAAAGCTAATTATATGCTATGTGGTGAAGACACAGAATTGCAATCCAAATGGCTGAATATACTTTATCAGGTCCTTCTCGTTTTCCATAAGCCCATTTTGAAGCAAACACCAATGAAACCAAAAAATGTTTGAAATACAACATGACACAGCAGAAGTGGTTTTCACTGGCTGCTTTCCATTCACCAAACCAAAAGGAGTTTTCATATGAGATGACTGCACTGCATTTCAGTGCCGCATTATTTATCATAATATAGTTCAGTATGACACTTATATTTCATTCAAAATTAATATTCAGGGTTTTATCTTAATTGAGATTAATTTACATTTCTATACAAATTGAAGATACACCCAAAATAAAAAGACATTTGGAAAATATTTCAGTAGACGTCTGGAGAAAAATTACAGGAACACACAACCAGAGTAATAATATATTTTCCAAGCACAGGGTTTCATCCCCTCTGTGGATAGCTATTAAACAGCTCAGATAGCACATTTATGGAAACCTTCAAGCTGAGATTCAGCTGTGTGAATTTGTGACAAGTTGTCAGACGATTGTATCTCAAGCTATTGTTCCCCTGTATCTCAAAGATTACAAGCTTATGGGCAGAACACATCTACCACAGATAGATGGAACTGGGAGTAGTTCGGTCTTCACAAAGCTTAGGTCAGGTTTTGTTTTTGAAAACTTGACTCTGGGACAGTTCAAACCCAGGTCAACTTTTTGCCAAAACTCCAAAGTCCAAAGGGAGCTAGAAGGACAGCTAGCCTGGAGCCAGTGGCTACACATTAAAAGCAGTAACCTATCTTCACAGCTAGGTAGAAAGGAAAATAATCCTCTCAAGTATCCCTTTAAAGTTTTGACAGCTTATGTATTAAGTATATATATGCATATATCCCTAAATTGTCCACCCTGCCCATGGAAACACTGAGCTTTTGAAACAGAAGCATTAGTCAATGTGATTTTAAAAAAAAAAAGCAAAAGAAAGATAGCTCTGCCAGATTCTTGGCAAAACATTATCTACATTGTGATTTCCTCACAGAGCGAAAGGTGATGAATTGAGGAGAAGAAAATGCAGGCCAAGGGGCAGTAGGGCACTTAGAAGACAGCTTCGTCTAATCTATGGGCTGAAGATTAGATATTCAATTCCAGTCAAAGGAATGGTACTCCGGGTTATGTTGTGGGTGTGGAAGATACCGTGATGGGTTCTTTCCAAGTTTAAATGCAAACTGGTTTATACAAGATTATTTTTGGTTAAAGTCACTGTGACATAGCTTCTTTCAGCTGCCTCATTATGCGAGCTTATTAAAGAAAAAAAAAAAGTTGCATGGTTCTTTCTCAGATCAAACAGTTTCTTTCCTGCCTTTTTCTGCCAAGTTATAATAAAATAAGGACTGTGACCTGAGCAGGATCTTCTAGAGCTAACAGAAAAGGAAAAACAGTATTAATAAGAGTTCATGCTACAAAGTTAAGGTTAAAAAAAATAAAAAAAACCCAAAAAAAACAGCAGAAGTAAAAGAAAGTACAGGATTAAGGCAAATATATATATATGGAAAAGCTTTATAAGCACCACAGCCCTACAAAACACATGCTGTTGTCCCATTTTCAGGTATGAGCTGGCAAGGTGCTAACCACTCCATGAACTTTTGGAGTCAGCAAGGCACTGCTTCTTAAACAACATAAAATAACTCTCAGGAGTTTTCTTAGTGTTTTCTTTATGTCTGGCACTAAATCTTTGCTAGATGGTCTTACGTTTAATTCTGTAGTGTCTTCTAATGTACTGGCTCTTACTGGCTTGTGTTGATGCATGTTTTGGTTTTTATTCCAGAAGGTAATAAGCAGTGTTTTATATGTGCTTAAGCAGTTTGTGCAAGGTTTCTGTAATGTACCGTGAGAAAGCCAAAGGCTTCCCAATGGTAGGGGAAATGACTGTCAAACATAGCACTAGAGCTCCAAATCATTAAAAGTTCCCTCAGTAGATGGTGAGCAAACACAGCTGCCAACAGAAATGCCAACATCCTGCCACTAAGAGGAGCTGAAATTCAGCTCTCATCAACAGCACGGGCATGCTCCAGCACCGCCCTTTCACCGGGATCCCTCCTCCTCCTCTTCCTCCTAGACAGGTCAGATTTCACCTCCGATGTGCCAACAGAGAACCCACCAGCAGATTGCTGCCTGTCCAAGAGCAGGACTAGGCAGAAGAGGTGGTGGGCTGCCAGAGCACACACAGAACTCCCAAGAACTAAATGAAATGCACTCTTTCTGACCCTATGGAGAGGTAAACCATTGGGAAACGTGCATCTGTACCAGTCTGTGGAGAGCTTGCAAAGACTTGGCCATATGCCTCAACCTACAGTTACTTACACTTTTAGCTCTAAAAGTTTCCTCTCTCATATTCAAAATATTGTTTTCCTCCCAGTATCATGCAGGCTGTCAATGCAAGTCAAGGTGATTTTTTCTGAATCTTATGTATTTTTGCTGGCTCGGAATGGAAGCTGCTGTAGGGATGTCTGGGCTGGTGGGAGGAGAGCATCTCTATATCCAACTCACTGGTCTTCAGCTGAGCAATCCTCTCTCCATCAGGGAGAGAAGAGAAAGCAATATATATAAAAAGCCAGATATGGCATACATAAAACATACTGGCAAGTCTGCCTTTAAGAATGCAGAAGAAAGGGGCTTCAGTGTGCACCTAAAGTTTCCCTAAAGATAGATTATCTCAACACTGAAAAAGACTGGAAAACTCCTCCGAAACTATTCCTCAAAAATAATGGAAATAAAGAAAACTTTTGACAAGTAGGTATTTACTAAAGAAACTTGCAGAGAATCTCAAATTTGCACAATTTACTAAAAGTGCAATAGAAAAGTTCTGAAGATTTTCTTTCTTCATGTTTAATCATAGAATGGTTTGCAATGAAAGGGATCTGAAAGATCATTTAGTTCCAATACCCCTGCCATGAGCAGGGACACCTTCCGCTAGATCAACCTGGCCTTGAGCACTTCCAGGATGTGGAGTACACAACGTCCCCGAGTAACCTTGTCCAGTGTCTCACCACCTTCACAGCCAAGAATTTATTCTAATATTGAATCTAAACTTGCCTTTTTTAAGTTTGAAGCCATTCCCCCATTACATCACTACATGCTCTTGTAAAAAGTCCCTCACCAGCCTTTCTGCAGCCCCCATAAAGTATTGGAAGTCACTCTAAGGCCTCACCAGAGCCTTCTCTGCTCCAGCCTGAACAAACCCAACTCTCTCAACCATCTTTATAGGATTGTTCTTCATAACAACATGCTTATGCTATAGCCAAAGCATAAAACTGAAAAACATTAAAATATTAAAAATACGCAAACCCTTTTTCTATACCCTTTCTTTACCAATGGCATGACTCTCCCCGAAGACATATGATGCCAAATGGAAATTCCAAAGTCTAGAAGTAAAGTGGTCCCATCGTGTTTTATCAGGACATTCAAACTCTCCATAGGTTGCAAATAAATGCAAAAGCACACCAACACAACTACTACGTGTCACTAAGCTAATAAAGTGTCATCAGAGTAGAAGAGCAGCAGGAGAGTGACTCTAAAATACTTCAAGCATAAACCAGACTAAACAAAGAAAAAAATCTTCTCAATTCTTATATATGTACCAACATTAAATATATAGATGCATTTTGAAAATTCGCATTTTCTTTACTGTGTTGTACATTTTTAAGTACCAGCAGGTCAGATTCATTTTTCCATCCAGCAGTTTGTGACCTGCCCTCATTACTCTCTGTAAATGTTATATAATTTGGAGGACCATATTGTATATTTATAAAGATAAGCACAGTCTCCAAAAGGTTGCTTGTTTTTCTAAGGGATGATTTTAGAATTGAATTCAAGAACTGCATCTGTAATTGATTCATCTTTAAATTTAGGGGAAAAAATAAAGCTCCTAAAAGACCTCTAAACACTTCAAGGAGGATGGCTGGAATGAAGGCCAGCCAAGATGTTCACGTCCAGCAAGTTCTTAATCTGAGTCAAAGAAAGGAGAAAACTGTACTGAGCATCCTGCCAGTGACATGAATTATTGCATCCTTTCTCGCAAAACCTGATACTTCAAAGCAATTTCCATGGAGGAAATAAATCTTTCCTTCTGATTTTGAGAACTCAGCAAATTAATTTAAAGCTGATGTCTTCTTGCACATCTCACAGAGGTGGAACCAAGCAGGTAGACGCTGGTGTTGGCACACATAGGAGAAAACTATGATGTACTGCACTTACCAGTGGCACTCAACACTTCAGGTTACATCTAAATAACACAATATAATGGCTTTAATGAACACTTCAAAAGACTTTGCTGAATCAGAGCTTTGCTGCTGTTCATTTCTTAAGTGTCAATCTGCATCCATGTGCATTAAGATAATTTATAATAAATTTATTTAAGTAAATCTGTGGAAAGTCATGCTGAGCTAGAACAACTTGCAAGACAACAAATCACAGGCACAGAACATAATCTGGCAGCTGTAATAGTAATTTAATTTTCTGCTTGACTCCTCAAGAAGCAGCAAGGATAAAAGTAATATCACGTTTTAATTTTATCTTCCAGGAAACAAAATGGGGTCAAGAAGTTAGTGATAATCTATTAAAAGCTGTGAGGATATTATTTCCCTATCCCAGGTATAGAATTGCACAGTTTTTTGTCATTATTAGGATATGGACAATGTAAGAGATCATAAAATGTATAAAAAGCGACCTGTCAGGATGCGGGAAGGTCACATGTCAAAAGTTGCTGCAAAAAACCCTAAACTGGTCTAATCTTGGGGATAGTGGATTGGACAAACTGTCAGCTGTCAGCCTGACTTAAATTGCTTGAGCATGAGGTCCTCTTAATGTTCAAATTCCTTTTTCTCCTTCCTTTTCTTCTTGCCACTAATCTTATTCTTGTTATTGCTACAAATAGCCTAGACTTTAACAAATTCACCAAGTGGCTGCACTAAACACGTGTGGTATTCTCTGAGAAGAGAAATGCCAGGGTCAAAATCCATCCAAGCTTCAAGAGCTGGTCCACAGGGTGCTGCAGACAGAACAGCTGGGTCTGGAAGAGGGAGAATCCCAGCAGCCATTCCCAGGCACCAGAAGCTCAACACCTGCATGTACAGCCACAGAGAGCAGGGTCAGACTCAAGGTGTATCATGCCTTAGAACCAGGATTACAACAATCACCTACATAGGTACCCTGTGTACTAAGCAAAACTTAAGCAATGCTATTTTTACCAATAGCTGTAAAAATATCCATCTTTTTTCCAAAGGATTTAAAGAGATCTAATATTTAAGGCATTGAAATTCAGAGGGAACAACCTTTATTTGAAGTAGAAAAAAGATCTGGTTTATTTACTTCAGGATCCAAATAACTTGCATCATATTCTACTTAATTCCAATCCTGCACTAAAACTAAAAATAGGCATACATGATTTTATTGTTTTTAATCCCTACCTCAATTTTTGCTAAGGAAAAGATATACTGAGATATTTGCTTTCAAGTAACATATGCACATTACACTGTATGTGTGTGGCAGTAAAGGTGAAGTCAAGAGAGTATTCCACAGCCTGTAAATGAAAGGTGCCACAGTATACACTTTGTTTTTGTTGTAATATAAACCACAAGCTTTGGCCAGTCATCAAGAAAAAAATGGTACAGAGCAAGTTTCACCTTAGAATTAATCCTATGGTCTTTGTAAAAATAAAGTGAAGTTTCCTGAAAATCTCATGCTATGGAGTACAATAAATTCCCCTGGTAAAATTATGCTAGGTAGAATGAAACTAAAAAAAAACCCAAATAATTTCTTGAGAAACATAACCCACAAGCTTTCAACTCAGTTTATTCACTGTAAACTGTGTTTTGTTAATGCCACAAAATATACAAGAAACAAAATTTCCCCTGAGCCTCATGTTCAGTGAAATGAAAATGTTTCTGCTTATCTGTACCACATTAAGAGCCAAAACCTTATTGAACCCTGCCAGAAGTTATGCTGTTAATAATTTTAGCTAACTTTTCCCTCTAGTAAAACTAAGAGAAGATAGAAGGAGACAAAATCCACTGCTCTTTTCAGAAAACATCCTCAACTGAGTGTCAAAAAAACAAAGCTTATTGTAAAATAGCAACAGAAGTGAATCCACTTTCCCCTCTGCACGCAGCTGTCCACACAATGCTTTGGTTTCAGCAATGAATCTGGCTTCAGAGGGCTTGACCTCTTCCCTGCCCACGTAGCCTCACCTTTCTGCCACAAACTCTTATCTTCTTGGTGTGTAACTGCAGCTATTTGGACACCTGTACTATGGGTTGGTCCACAAAAAGGATTTGGGTGGAAACCCAATGTCATCTCCACTTTCCCCTGCTAAACCTGTGGTAAAGCAAATATATCAGGGAGCACGCCTGCAAGAAACATTGCCCATATTCCCAGCCAAGGTACAGCTGCATGTGGAAAGTGACATGATCTTTAGTTTCTGCATTGCTAGAGGGATACAAGCCAGAAGAAATTCAGAGATCAATGAAAGTGATTCAGCAATTGCTTTAGGAAAAATTTACCTATAGTAAAAAGTAGCAAAAAGTAGATTGGGATTCAGAATACCTGGAGTTTATTTCTAGCTCACTAATTGGTCTCCAAGTCAAATACAAAGAAGGGTTATTTAGGCTGGAAGAAGTAAAGATCCTGATACTTGCACATCACTATTGGATCATCACCATCAGGAGCAATAAAAGTGAATGAAAGAAATGAAAATGAAAGCAACTACTTTTAGGTGGACATAAGTAAAAGCTTGTGTCGTAAAGGCAGCTGAGGCTGAAGGTCTCTTCCATTTTTCAACTGGGAACAAGCAGTGATTGCATCTTTTCAAATGTTTAATCTGTAAGCACCAAAGAACAGGGGCACAGTACAACAATGCCTGCAACAACAACAGAGTTCTTGAGCCAACTACAGAAGGGGAGGAAGTTTATTTAAGAGCTTCTCTGCTTTTTCCTTTACTTCAAAGTATCTTCTTCTACCCAGCACCAACACAGAAAATTATCTCATTAATAGCTAATAAGCAAACAGTACATTTTTTGTTCACTGTAATTTAGAACAAAACACTCTATGTTGTATTTAAGTGATTTCCAGACATAAAGTGTGAAGGCTTCCATAACCCACTCATCTGATAACTGTTCATATCCCAGCTTTCCCCCTTCTCAGTCCCCCTTCTCTGATACTCCCCCAGCAAAAACACTGAAAGAAAAAAGCCTAAAGCCCTGCATCTATTTGCTCCCGCACCCACACAGTACATACCCATAACAGAACTCTTCTCAGCTTCAAAAATACAAAATGACCCCTGTAAACAAACCTGTAGAGGGAAGGGAAGGGAAGGGAAGGGAAGGGAAGGGAAGGGAAGGGAAGGGAAGGGAAGGGAAGGGAAGGGAAGGGAAGGGAAGGGAAGGGAAGGGAAGGGAAGGGAAGGGAAGGGAAGGGAAGGGAAGGGAAGGGAAGGGAAGGGAAGGGAAGGGAAGGGAAGGAAGGGAAGGGAAGGGAAGGGAAGGGAAGGGAAGGGAAGGGAAGGGAAGGGAAGGGAAGGGAAGGGAAGGGAAGGGAAGGGAAGGGAAGGGAAGGGAAGGGAAGGGAAGGGAAGGGAAGGGAAGGGAAGGGAAGGGAAGGGAAGGGAAGGGAAGGGAAGGGAAGGGAAGGGAAGGGAAGGGAAGGGAAGGGAAGGGAAGGGAAGGGAAGGGAAGGGAAGGGAAGGGAAGGGAAGGGAAGGGAAGGGAAGGGAAGGGAAGGGAAGGGAAGGGAAGGGAGAGAGGCGAGGCGAGGCGAGGCGAGGCGAGGCGAGGCGAGGCGAGGCGAAGCGAAGCGAAGCGAAGCGAAGCGAAGCGAAGAGAAGAGAAGAGAAGAGAAGAGAAGAGAAGAGAAGAGAAGAGAAGCGAAGCGAAGCGAAGCGAAGCGAAGAGAAGAGAAGAGAAGAGAAGAGAAGAGAAGAGAAGAGAAGAGAAGAGAAGAGAAGAGAAGAGAAGAGATGCATGGTGAAAGTGGTCACCAAGCAGCAGCAGCAACAGATTTGCCAGGCCAGCCTGATGTCCCACTTCTTCTACAACGAACAAGAGTCTGCTGATGGCAGGCCAAAATACTGAAGCTATGCCTGCTCGTGCACCAGCTGTAATGAAACTGTGCCTGCAACAGGTAGAAGAGACAAAATGTGGGTAACAGTGGTAAAAAAAGAGAAAAACCATCATAATTTCCTCTCAAAGACTGCTGGTATATTATGGAGTTATTACAGCGCCTTGCATCTCTAGGATGTGAGCTCAGATGTGTTTGCCTTGACAAAATCCTGGGCCCCATAGCACCGTTTGGGTACTACGGGTATCATGGGACAGTGAGCTGCTGAACTAGCACCAAACAATCCAAGAATAGGCAGATATGCCACTTCCCATCCTGGAATAGTGCACTCACTGGAGTGAGACACTGCAGTGAAAAAATGGTGAGACGGCTTGGGATTCACTAGAGAATAAGAGTACAGTCCTGGAGCCTCAATCTGTAAAAGTCTGAGAAACCCACATGGAATATATATGCCTTGTCCCCTCCCTGTAAAGGTGTGGAGCCCACATTTGCCCCAAGGAGCAACTCCATTGCTGTAAGCAGCACTAGGAGCTCAAGTAGCAGAGATCTGCACTATGAACCAGTTCCAATAAAGAAAAAGGAAAAAAAGGGTGGAAAAAGAGGAAGAAAAATCATTATAATATTATAAAAAAGGCATTAATGGGCAGACTTCCTTAAAAAATTTTATGTATTTTCACACACACAACATAATTTTCTTTCCAAAACATCCATTTTGCTCTATTAAAACAACATCCTGCATGAGACAAATGTTACATTTTTAAGGGAGGCCACAGTGTGCAAAACAGAGGAAAGGCTTTGGAAGGAGGAAATAAAATTATGCTTGAATTCTGTATTAGAAAAACAGACAGAAGTCCAGCCTTTGCGGGGGTTACTGGAGTGATGCTGATACATCTAATGAACTAATCAATAGTGCTCAAAAGCTTATAAAACTTGCATCCTCTGGATGTGCTACCTGGCACCTCAGGGGTAATTTGTAGACGTGCTGAGCATTCAGTACCAGCTAAAGTCAATGAGTGTAAAAACACGGAAAAAAACACTTGAGTATTTTAAACAGTAACAAACAGCAAATTCTCAGAATAAAAAAAACCTATCAGAGTTATCTCTAAGCATTTGGAGGCCCTTTTAACTTCTCTGTAGTGTTCACAAGTTTTATCAATACAAGGACAAGTAGCAGTGAGGATAATGGAGAGAAAGTAAGGGAAAAAAAATTAATGAAGCTGTGTAAAAGCCCTTAACAAAGCTCATCAGTAAAGTCACACAGGTAACTTCATCACTGATTTCCCAACTCACTAATATTAAGACATTTTTGTGCATGGATTTTTACTTGCATGTGGTGCTTTCCCAGTGACGTTGTTTCCAGCTGAAGGGAATTCAAGAGGTACTGCATGCCTCAGCACTGGCTGGGAAAGCTTTCCTTGGACATCCCCAGCTTCTTCCTCCAGCCAGCTGTACATGCTACGTGTCCCACCAGTGGTATCAACAATGAAATTGGACTCTTCCAACACACCCAGTAGAGGAAGGCCTTAAGTGCCTTCAACAGCCTAATGTTGCTGAGTTACTGCTCTGCCTGTGACTGCACCTGGAGTGGAAACATCTCTCCAGCCTGTTCAGTGCCAGAAGGTACCAGTAGAGTGGGAGTTTGTCATCCTGATTGTTGTACAGCAGTGAAGTCTCACTTAGACTGACATTTGTGTCTGCTGCTCACCAGCATCCCTCTCTGTGAAGGGGACTTCCATACAACCTGCTTCCCCCAGGATGGTTCCTGACTGCAGGCTAGTGCTTCTTTCTCATTGACTGGATCCTGCACAGAAAAACAAACATTTTCTCCACTTTTCTTACCGTAATTACTGATTTCTCCTATGAGTAACATTTTGTTTAACCAGCACATCTCAGATTTATTTAAATTACTGCTCTTAAAATATTAAAGGACATCCCATAGCTTCCCTTCGATGCTTTTTGATATACTTTTAAGCTACAGATAGTTCACAAGTGACTGTTCATTTGAATTCTATTTTTTGAGGAAATTAACATAGGATTCTTTTTTTATCCTTACTTTAAAAAAAACAAACAAGGTTTTGTAAGTTAACATGACAATAATTATCATTCAGAAGTCATAAAGTGGTTTCCGTTTCTTTTCCTGGAAACCAGTGTCATTATTTCAGTAGAACTGTTTAAAAGAGTTTACCAGCATTATCTCACAGAGACATGTGAGCAGAGAAGAGCCAGACTAAAAAAAGGATCATAAACAATTTACTTTTTCAAAACTCAAAAAATACAACAAAGACCCCCTGTGAACATTGGGCAATTCCCATAATCTCTTTTTCCCTGGGACCGCATCATTAATTTAAGGATGAAGCCCATGTGTAAAAATCCTGCTGTTTCTCCCTCCTTATATAGCCCAGAAAGCAATGGGAAAATGTCCTCTGTATTAATGTATTAAACAACTTGTGAATTTTCTTTTAATTAAAACACTTTAAAGTTGTTTCATTAAACAACTTTCTTCTAATTAGAGTGGGTGTCTTTTTCTCCATTCCAAAGTGACAAACAGCAGGAATGCCGGAAGATTGCTGGTGCAGCATCTCTGTTTCCCTTCCAGATGCAATGGGCTCACCAGTGACTCACCAGACACCCCCAGGGCATCGAGGGCAGTGGCATGGTGGCCCTCACAGAGCCTCACATCTCTGCCCATCACTTACTTATCAACTGGTGAAGATCAGGAGGTGGATGCCAATGGTGTCCAACTGCAGCTGGCTCAGGCCACAACCCAGGGGAGCACTAAAAGTGATGTTGCATAATTGAGACCACTCTGGCAAATTATTCATAAACCAGTTAAAGGCAGGGGAGGACAGAGCCTTAGCTGGCGTGCAGCAGCAAAGCCAGGTTGGTTTTGACAGATTAAAACATGTAAAATGCTGAACAGGTCTTTTAAATATGCAAAGTCCCATTGACATAAAGGAGGAAGCTACCAGAGACTATCAGAGACTTAAATGTCTCTTTGGCAGAGATTATGGTAGTCCATGAAATGCCTTTGAAGAATTGCATGTTAATATCTGCCCAAGTATGGTGACACATCAGACTAGAACACATTATTTCAGTCATCTGTTCCCAGGTTAACAACCACAGCAGCCAGAACAGCCCTACTTCTAACAGAAGATGTGTGATGATTTAAATTATTACAGTGTGTTCCCAGGCAGCACTTCAAATTACATTTAAATGGGGAAGAAAAAAATCCAAACCCTTAGTGGCATGAAAAATCTATTCATTGTATAATCTTGGAAGACTTTTCTGCCAGACTTAAATTAGGAGCCTTAATAAATCTCTCAGAGGCTTTTAGCAACTTACGTTGTGTTTATGTTTAATAAAAATGGTGGAGGGTTCCAACTAAATTAAATTAAACTAGCTCTTAATTCCTATGTTTTGAAAAGGCATCACGTTGATACTGTGATGACTTTATTCATGGAAATATGATTCAACTCTTTGGCTCACAAATCACACTTACCAACCCTGCACGAAGGAAAAAAAGAAATCACAGCTGCAGTCTCTGAGCTCCTGGAGAAAAATGTCTGAAAGCAAAGAAAACAAAAGAAGCCAAAAGGGAGAGCTAACCCTTGGTAAGCATTGTCTAGGTTTGTGGCCACCTCTGACTAACCATGCGCTCCTATTTTTGAACATCTGAGTCATCCCCTAGGGTGCTGAACCTCTGTGCAAATAAATAAATAAATAAGTATGAACCCACAGAACAACAGAAAATGTGAATGGTTGGTGAGGAAAAACATGTTTGGTCAGGGTTGTGAAGAGGGGAGAACAAACCTCAAGGATGAATACTTTCCAACCCCAAAATGGATCAGAAATAAAACAGCAAAGCAGCCAACAAACAATCTATATCCTTTTAGCAGGAACCAATTTTACCATCTCTAAGATATGCTTCCAGATAGATAATAAAGTGCAGCAGGAGATTCTCCTCTGAATGATAAATAAAGGAAATTATGTTACTTTCCAAAACAAACAAAAACCCCCAAAATCTGGTCAGCTGTTACCGAGTTGGATTGTATTGCAACACAGTAAATTTTAAGATCCACTCTGACCTACACAGGAGGACTAGGCAAGCCTCCTCTCTCACAAGGCCAAGGACAACAGCAGAGTGAGGAGGATTCACTTCTTTTGTACATAAGAAGGCAGCATAAAAACATTATCCTTCAGAAAGACTGTAAACTCTACTTTTCCCCACCTAGAAACATAGTGTAACACTACTGCATGAAAAACAAGCAGCTCCAAACCAACTTGCAATCTGCCATTTGCAGAGCACCACCTGGTTCCTGTGGCTGCCCTCAGCTGGTGCTGGTGGCTGTTCCCAAGCTTCCCAAGACATCAGTCTGCACCTTGCACGGCCACTTAGGGCACTTCTGAAGGTGGATTTAAAATTACTGTCCCTGTTGTGTGAAGCCACTTGACACCAGCTTTATTTTTATACAGACTTTGCACAGGTAAAAGCAGTTACATGAGATGTAAAGCAGCCAGCAGGCCATGGTATGTGGCAAGCAGCTTTTCAGAAACAAAACTGACTGCAGTTATCCAGATAGCTGCTTGCTGAGCATCACTCAGGGGCTCATACTAGGGAACAAAGCCAGTATTTAAAACACACAAACAAATCCTTCCCTTCACTGCAAGGCACAAATAGTTGTGCTAAAGAAAAATGGTTGGGGAACAGCACAGGTGAAAAGAGTTTCTAGTGCAGGGTATTTTTTAAGCCAGTGCTGCTATTAAGACAGATGTTACAAAACCATACCCTCCGCCTGGTAGCTTTAACATTGAGAATTGCTATTTCTCACCCCAAATGGATGATCATGGAACCTTGTGGCTCACAGAGGAGCCTGTAGGCTACAGCCAGCATGCATGAGAGAAATGTCCCTAAAAATGTCTTGATGTTAAAATGATGTTGAATAGAAGTGCCATTCAAAAAAAAAAAAGAAGAAACAGAGTCAACAATCATTAGATGTTGATGTGTCAGATGTGTCTATGGACAATTTTTCAGTGTGACCCTCACCTTCCTCTATTCACAAACAGACTTTTCCAGAATTAGCAGCCAACACAGACACCCATATAGCTTCTGGCAATGCACAAAAGTTCAAGCTCCTGACAGTGTTGCTATACATATACTGGGGCTAATGAGAGAGGAAAACTACTGACAAGGGGCCCTGTCCCAAGCCCCAGCCTCCATCCTGATGCCTGAAGCCCATCAGCCTCTCATCTTTGCACAGACTGTCTGTGGGACAAGGTGTACATGTGAACTTTTGTGATTTGTCCAGTCAGTTCAGTCTTTAGAAAGCTTAAACCTGCTCTGTTATTGTATGCATAGTAACAGACAACTCCATTTTCCTACTGTTGGTGGATTTCAAGGTAAATCTAGTAAAATACTCACTTTTTCTCTCACCTATGGTGTTAATTGCCTGTCTATAATTAAATTGAACACAGCAGGACAGTAAATGACAGAAAGGCTCAATGTTTTAGCTTTGGTGCCTCATAAAGTACTAACCTGGGCCACATGCAATATGCACATAGCACAACTCAATGATCAATCTAAAACCAACAGGAACTTTTATATGGACTGATGGTCTTTGGCTTAGACCCCTTCCAAACACTGAGTTTTCATGAGTTATACCAGCTGCCACTTGTATTTATTTTATAAGCACCACATGCTAAGTGTAAATTGCATCGCCACCACCACTGATTTCACCCTAGACACTTCTAAACAAGTTACGGGTGGTGGAATCCACATTTGGGCTGAAGGCCAAGAAAGACCTCTCCGATGAGGTTGTATAATTGAGGCACTTTTTTAAAAAATAAAATACTGAAAAAACAAGTATGTGGAAGAGTAAGAGATTTGGTTTATCACAGTTGCATAGGAGACCTAACACGTGCCAGTACAGAACCTGGAGAGAGAACCACTAGCCCAGACAGATGCACCCACAGAGCAGGTCCTGCTTTTCAGTCATCTTTTGTACTAAAAAATTCTGCAGGCAGAAAACACATGACAGGGAAAAACCAAAACAAGCAATGCAGGCTCTTCAGAAGGAAGGGAGTGAATAAAGGTAAGGTGAATCATGACTTTCAGAGTCAAGTCATGGGGTTTTTCCCAGGACTTCCTTCCCATCTCTAAAAACACTATAATGGAAACATTGTTACTCCTCAAGGCCCTTTTCAGGTTAGAAGCAGTGTTCACGTACCTTAAGAATAAGCACAAAAAACCCCACTGCTCTCTGGCACCTTCAGGCATTTTACCTGAATGGAGCCTTCAAAGTCTTAGATCAGTAATTACCTGAATGAAGTTGCAGCTATTACTAGTAGACAGAATATAAGTGAGCTAGCTGTTTCCTGCTTTGTTTTAACCAGCAGGCCATTTCTCCAACTGGCCATTCTCACATCCAAAACACATGTTTTGGTCACCCCAGGTTTTTGGGTTGTTTATTTGTGTTTGGGCTGACCACGCTGTGCTGTCTCCAGACTTCCCCAACTCCCCGCGCCTTGCTGCCTTCTGCAGGGCTCAGCTGTGACACAGCGTGGGCGCAGGTCAAGCACATCCCCGACCTTTCTGAGGTCACACAGTTACAGCCTTCCCAGCACCACGTCCCATCAAGTGTTTTGTAAATGCTTCCTGCAGCACGACCAGACAGCAAAGCAAAGTGCATAAAAAAGAGTTTTGCTCATCTGCAGCAAGGAGGTATTCAGATGGGGAGATCTTCCAGGGCAGAAATTACATGTTTGTACTGATGTCAGAGATTACCTCCCGCCCTTCTGTATTAATAATACAATAGGACAGATTTTATAACAGAGCAGGACCAAGAGTGTGTGTAACAGTTGTTGTGATGACCTGGATTCAAAGTGTGGTTTCTTTCTATGTATTATTTACTTATACTCTAGTGTGTATATATACACACTTGCTTGTATATACATACAAATGCATATATACACATTTGCATGTGTATTTATCCACTGTTTATATATCTTATAAACTTACACGTAGTTTGTATATTAAAAAAAAGGGAAATAATTTTCCAAGAGGATTATGTATGCTTTCCTCATGGAAAACCTAAACTTGTTCATTTTTTTAATATTTCCTCTGATATATTCAAACTTCCATCTGCAGAATAACTCTTCCCTTGCTTTTCTGTGAAGTGATTGAGATCTGTCCTTCAGCAGTTGGTGGTATTATTCCATTATCTTGAGTCCACAGAATACTGGAAGATATATCCGTATCTCCATTGCACTTGAGAGCCCATAACTGGGCCCAGTACTCCAGATGTGGCCTCAGCAGTGCTGAAGAGAGGGGAAAGATCACTTCCCTCAGCCTCCTGATAATACTCTGAATGCAGCCCAGGAGGCTGTCAGCCTCCATCATGGTCTATCAAGCACTGCTTCATTTTATTTTTACTTTAGTCTGCAAGTTTGCTGAAGGTGCACCAAAACACCATCCCATCATCCAAGTCATTAGTGACAATATCCAACAGCATTTGACCCCAGGACTGACTCCTGGCCTATACCCTTGAGGACCAGCCTCTGGCTGGACTTCCTACCTCTGGTTATAAGGTTTTGAGCCCAGCACTTCTGTGAGGTATATCCATCTCCCTGTCCCAAATCTAATCCATACACCATTGGTTTGTCTATGAGACTGTTATGGGAGACAGTGATGAAAGCCTTGCTAATGCTGAAATAAAGAACAGACACTGTTCCAGTCATTTCATTGTAGAAAGGTGTTGTCCATTGTAAATCCATGCTTGATTTTACTTGGTTTACTCATTGGAATGAACAGCTCTTCACCATGGATGGAAACCAATCAGCCCTCTTGGACCAGAGTTCTCTCCAGGATGATCTCCTCTGGGATTCTTCCACACAAATCCCTGAACAGACCAAAGTGCTCTCCTGAAGTCCAGTCCTTCACCATTTCCCCCTCATCTCAGGATCCCACACACTCCAATCTCATGGTTACTGCTGCCCTCAACCCTCATATCCCTGATCAGTCTTTCCTTCTCTGCAAGTACAAGGTCCAGCAGAGTATGTCCCCTCATTTGCTTCTTGGTCACTTATCAGGAAGTTGTTACCAAAGCACTCCAGAAACCTCGTGGATTGCTTGCGCGCTGATGCATTGTCCTTCGAGCACATATTGGGATGTTTGGCTAGACTCCCAGATCCTTGTGGGGTTCCCACTTTTAACTAGGGTGTGGCCTTCCTAAAGAGCCTCTATCCAGCCACTGCAGTGCTACAGCAGTGTCAACTGTCCCACCACATCTGTGCAGACAAGGAGCTCATCTGCCTTGCTCCAGCCTCCATGAGAGATCCCCAGCCCCAAATCTGCAGAGCTGCACCCTCCTCAGCAGCTTGCTCTGGGCTGTAGCCTCTGCTGAGTCAGGGGTAATTTCTCCACCGAGTGCTGGGGACCAGCTCTGGCAGCTCCCTGCCACTGCTGCTGAGCACAAACACACTGCCAGCCCAGACCCCGGCCTTCTCCTGCGCCAAGTGCTGCTGGCTGCATGCTGTGATTGATGATTTTACAGGCTCCTCCCAGCACCAGTTGCCAGGATGCCTGACCCTGCCTGGTTAGGATTCAGCTGGAACAAAAGTTCAAAAGCCCCTTCTCACAAGGAACTCTTCGATATTTATACTATCTACCATATATATCACAAGCCAAGTGAAAATTTTATCATATGCTTCTTTGTACAGGTGAACAAAAGCAGTCAGACATGCCTTAACACTTATATTGGTTTTATCCATTAAGTGATTTTTACCACCACCATTCCAATTATCACAGAGATAATGATAGCCATCAAGGAAAAATTAATAATTCCACAATAATCTATTACTGAAAATCAAGTTGACCCAGACATAAAGTGAAATAATATATCTGGTACCAGGTCCACACTCACTAAGTACCTTAAAGAAAGTCAATCCCTTACCTTGGGTATCACCCAGACCAAAAGCAGCACATGCCTCTGGTGTACACAGAGGAAGAGGAAGGCAACAGTATATTAAAGACAGCTTTCACCAATCCCAAACAAGAATAAAATCAGATATTATGCTGTACTATAGGCCAAGTTGTAGCAAAGGATACCAACGTGTGTGTACACAAAGGACCACAAGGGGATCTGATCTCCACACTCACCTCCACAGGCAGCACCTTCAGGCTGTTAAAACTTGATGTTGTACATATTCTAAAAAACTAATATAGAAAATGTCACTCTGACTTTCTCTTGCTCACCTGCAGGTAATTTTCCACCAGGTTCCATTTCAATTTGATGAGAGACTTAATTATCTGATGAATCAAAAACCCCAGCACCCCCACTGCTGTTCTGATTAGCCCCATCAGCAGCAATCGTCCCGCTCCTTTCTAGAAATAGGAAGACACAGGTACCTCTCAGACCATAAAACAGGATTATTTGCCATGCTGCCTCTCACAAAGACACCAATTCCATTTTTAGAACATTTTGAATATTACCTGTGACTGCCTGAACAACAGGCTTCTCTTGCCAATATCTCTTTTAAAAGTGTACACGCAAGAAAGATTCACCATGAGGTGAAAGCCATTTTTGTTTGGGTAAGGAATACAGTTGGATTTTTTGGTTTTGGATTTGTTTGGGTTTTTTTAATAGAAAGTTACCAATGCAGTCTGATCTCTGATGTTGAATGCTTGATATCATATTAAAATCAATTATATGACCCAGTAATTAAACATTTGGAACACATTACAAAGTAATCCCTGCGTCCTTCGACTGCAATAATGCACTGAGCACCTATCATGTAAACGTGCAAACTTTTACCTCCAGTTTCTGTATTTCCTCAGCTTACACTTCTAATAATAATGTGCATCAGTACTAATGACAGGTTTATTTTAAGTATCACCTAGGACTAGAGCAGGCCTACTGAGATTCAAACACCATGGTTCCTGCAGATTATGCTGTGAGAAAAAAAAATTTAAATTAATTACTTTGAATAGTAATTTTAAACATTCATTTTAATTTAAAAATTAATTAAAATTAATTTCAAGGAGTCTCAGTAAGAAAACATTTACCCAAACTTCTGCAAAGTATCTTCCTTTTAAGTTGTATACATTAAGAAGTTAATAATTTAATTATTTTTTGCATATTCAGTAAGTTGTGAAGAGCAAAGACATAAGCACTTACAAAATACGCTTTTAATCTCTTGGCCCCCTTCTACATTCAGAATATTTTCCTGTACACAGAAACAATAAATAACTTTTTCTTAATTCCTCCTGCTGTCAGGCATATCCCTGGAGTGCCCAAATTATATATAATTTTAGAGGCAGCTTAACACTATTTGAGGTAAGCTTACTGGTATGTTTTCTCTTGTAGCCACTTCTTATAAACCTTTTTGTGTGAAGACAAATAATCCAGACTTTCCTTGGCCAGCAGATGTTCTCTCTACCAAAGGTACTATAGCTTGGATACTTTACGCAAGGCAGTTTGCAAGTTGGTAGCTTGGAGAGAAGCAAAAGACCCAATGCATGTCAAACGGCTACTGTAAATCAAAACCAGCAACATGCAGTGTGTTTTTGCCACCTCCAAGGTGTGACTTTGGTAAACCAAAGAAGGAGTACAAAAGGATTTCTGCTGCTTTCCACCAGCTGGAATTTGGACCAATTTGGCAAGGCCTCATCTCAAATAATCGTAGAATCACAGAACCATAGAATGGTTTGGGCTGGAAGGGACCTTAGATATAATCTAGTGCCAACCCCTCTGCCTTGGACAGCAATACCATCCACTAGACTGGGTTGTTCAGAGCCCCATCCAACCTGGCCCTGAGCACTACCAGAGATGGAGCATCCACAGCTTCTCTGGGCAACTGGTTCCAGTGCCTTACCATCCTCACAGTAAAAAATTTCTTCCTAATATCCAATCTAAACGTACCCTCTGGCAATTTGAAGCCATTCCCCCTTGTGATGTCACCACCTGCCCCTGTAAAGAGTCTCTCTCAGTCTTTCTTCTAGGCTCCTCTGGAAGGTACTGGAAAGCCACAACAGGGTCACCCCAAAGCCTCCTCTTTTCCAGGCAATGAAGAAACATAAATAGTTCCTGGTTCTGAATCAGTGAGTACCAAAGGGCAAGTGAGAAGAAAAAAGCCATATGCAAATTACCCCAAATAATCTTTTGGACCTATGGTTTTGCAGCGCTGAAAGTTTCCTCATAATCCACTACTCACATTCTCAAGTGTAACAACACACAGTCATGAAGGAAATATTGCCCAGGGCAGGGGGCACATCCGTGGCATGATATAGCAATGGCCTAAGTCCAATTTCTTACACCATGACTGGGGTTTTTTGCCAGCTCAATCAGGCATTTCATTCAAGACTTCAAAAGTACTATGCAAATTGCAGACCTGGCAACAGTCAATCTGACAAAAAAGATAACAAGTTGAAGAGAATTGATCTAGGTGGAAATCAAAGACTGCAGAAAATAATTGTTGCTGGAAACTGTGTGAATAGCTACAAGCAACAACAAATGCATTAGAAAAGTTACCTTCCTTCTGATACGGGGAAATAAATGTATCTGCCACCAAGACCTCCACAGTGAAGTTATCTAATAACAAATAAACATTGTGTGATCAATTAAATCCCTCCAGTCAAAGGTGAATTAAGTAACAGCAGGCATCCAACTGATTATGTACACTAATAATGTAAAAAGTGGTAAATACTTCACAAACAGAAGCTCAGGCCTTAGTTTTGTGTTTAAGCACAAAAATGAGATTAGACTGCTAACTTGCTTGCACACAAGCTAGGTTTAACTACTCCTATTCCAAATGGAGCAAAAGAAAGCAGAATCCAGGCAAGTAAAGCAGGCACCTGAGCAGAGTTCGAGGCTGGGACTCCATCACTGCTTCATTCCAGTATGCCAGACTGGTTACCCCGAAGCCTCCATTCAGCCCATTTATTTCTGGAACATGGGAATTTGTATGATGGCATTTTCTAGTTGTGTTAGACCAAATGTTAATAGATTATAAATATTATATTTATATATAAGTATAAATATTGTATTTAGATATAAGTATTATAAAGATTGCAGCACAAACAAAAATACAAAATCCACTGCACAATACAGTCAGGGGATGGAACACTGAAACTAAAGGTACATTTCTAGAGAAAACAGATGAGGTCAAGTCACACTGCTCAGAGATGAAACAGATATTCCTCATTCCATGTCACAATGACTTGTTACATAAACAAGATGGTTCTTTTTACCCAAACAGAAATATCATTCCCATCCTTAAAAGTACACCTGAGCATTTGCCTTTACTGTCCCCAGTTGTCAGAACTCCAAAGCTGACAACTCCTCTTCCAACAGACTCGGTCTCTGCAGCTGTGGCTCAGCTGTACTGTAAATTCTCAAATACACCCTCTTGTGCATTCAAATTTAAAAAAACAAAACAGAGTAACAATGTGTTTTCAAAGTTTGACCCCTAGTTGTTTGTTCCCCATGGACTCCTCTGTAGTCAACTTAAACCCACCAGTACAACCACTTATCTGAAATATATTTCATGAACCTCTGAGAAGGAGTACACAATGGCCACAGTTAAAAAGCTAGATAGTGAAAAACAAAGCAAGATTTGAGATTGCAGGGGGCCATTGCAGCAACCCTGACATGCAGGAGTTGAGATAACTCTCCAGAGGACAAACAAGGCCTTACAAAACACATATATACATGGAGTTTTGTTCATTTACGATGAAACCTGAAGACAGAGAGACATGAAGGCAAATGCAGACTGCGGTTGTAAAAGTTTCTGCACCAGACATTGCTCTCCTAAGAATACACACTGCTTAATTAGCCTGTAAGAATTTTATCCAAAACCTATGCATTTTGGCTGTCACTGTTACATACACTAACACCTCCCAGTGCAGAATGAGTCTTCATTTTTCTTTTGAAAAGCATTTCAGATCATATATTCTCAGTTCTGTGAATTTTACATAAGGATTGTCCTTCTTTCTGCAATGTTTTTATCTCCAAACATCACACAAGGATCCTTCTACTTATTCAAGAGCTTCCAAAACTTATGTTTTGCCATGGATAAAGAAAATCAGAGGCAATGATGAAAAAAATACCTTCCGAATACTAGAAGATAAAATGTTCCCACCTATGTAAGAAGACCAGAGAATCCAGGCTGCAACCAGTTCCCAGATTTATCACTAATTTCTGACTTCTGCAAGGTGTGCTACTTGACTTAAAAGTATTCTTACCTCATCACAGCCTAATTGGGAATGGCTGCTTTGGAGACAAGGCAGGAAAGAAAGAATCTGTGTTCATCACCACTGAAAGCTACCCACACAATTCTTTGTGTAAATGCTTTGAGGAGTCAAATTATAAACTGAATTTTACTCAGTTAGGAAAGAATTTTGAAAGGCCAGTGTGGGAAGAACCCATGCTTTTAGTCTGCCAAGACCCCATTTGGGAGCCAGAGCTCCTTCTTTCACTCCCAAGCAGCTTCCATGCAGGCCATGGGACTCTGCAAAAGGGCGATGGCCAAATACGGAAGGTGGGCAGACACTGGCACAGCTCTCTCTTCCTTGGTAAACACAAGCAGGCTGGCCCAGGCTGCCTCCAGTTAGGACCTGGAAAAGCTCCCTTGAAACTGGAAAGACCAGTAAAGGATGGTACCTCTGCTACTTGGTGATCTGGGTGACAGGCAAGGTGTGTAGCAGAAATGCAGCTACCACTATCTGCAGCTGGCCATTCCAAAAAAGTTTCAGGCGAGCTCATCTAACTCCTCTCCCAAACAACTGAGAAGAAGGAACAACACAATTTTATTTGCCTAAATGCTTTGTAAGTGAAAGAGGATGTGCATGTATGCCTCACATATGTTCTTTATCCCTTAAAAGACCAGGATGGAATAACCCCAACTCATACTATAAAAATACAAAGAGTTGCTAAATTAGAAGCCAGAATAAATAAGAACTACCCACCAAACAGCAGTAGAGATACAGCATGAATTTAATACTAAGACATTTTGCCACTTGTCTTTAAATAGTACAGACATAAATCCGATGCCAGCTATTACACACAAAAGCACCTGCCAACGAACTTTTTAATTCTTGCTATGGTTGTACTAAACCCCTCCTGCCTGAGCACAAGGTACTACTCACTCCTCTATCCAAACAGCTGTATAATGTAATTTTAACTTTGCAATGGCAAACATGTAAAAAAACAGGCAAATGCTTAGTTGGCATCTCAGTTTTAAGTAGACAGAGAACCACGTACTTTTTGAATGGTGTCAGGAGTTGTATATACCTAAATGGTAAGAATTTCTTCCCTCTCCACTGCCCTTCAGTCTTCACCCACGGGCTTGTTTAGTGCAGCACATGTGATCTGTCCATCTGTCAAGTAAAGCAGTGCACCATTCTTGTTGCCTTCAGTTTTAATACTAAAACCATACAGGTATTATAAGATCATACAATCACAAAAATACAAAAAAGGATTAGAGATTGCGAGTTAACATTGTTAACACTGCATGAGTAATGCATCAATTCCAAACAAATCTGAAGGTAGAAGTCAAGAGGTTTTGAAATGCCAGAATAAATAATTTCTACTCTAAGAAACATGAGCAGTTCAGAACTTATTTTTCAACAGGCTGAAAGCAGAGTGGAAGAATGAAGAGCTTCCAAAGCAGTATTCTTTCCACAGCATCCCACTCCAAAGATCAAAAACCATTACACTACTAATTGAGGTGACACTCAAAGACTTCAAATAATGAGTGTTTAATGCACAGTCTGAATGACAGCTCAAGGAAGCAAATAATTATCACAGTCATTGGACAGAGATATAAAGACATTGTTACCTAGAAACATCGTGGCTTTTAGCTTTTGTTTCATATTATTTCAATATTTCAAAGTAACAACAGTAAAGGAATGAAAGTATAGTACTAACTCAGCACAAGAATTTTCCTATGCATACAACAACTCCAACATATGGTGCTGGATTAAAGGACAGAGATGTTGAAACATTTTCTGATAACACCATAATAAATCTCACATAGTGCAACAAGTTAGTAGTAGTACCATGTGATACAGTAAATCTAATCTGCAATCTTCAGACAGAAAAAAAATGTACATATGACAGGAAATCATTTCAGAAAACACAACCCAAGATGACTATGACCATCTCCACAAATCCTCAAATTGTGATGTGGCAAGGAGTTATTTTAGATTTTAGGAAGCAGACAGTCCCACAGTTCAAAGTGCAATGTACCTCCCAGAGATGGGAAATAATGCTCTCTCCCAAAACTGCAGTCATGCAAACAACAAACACAGGAGGAATCTGTTGGCCAGAAAAGGGCAGGGCTGTTGGCAATTTACCCAATGCCATTACAAAAGCAGAACTTTTAGTACAGACTTTTCTCAGAATAGTATTGACTCTTTTAACTACATGCACACATTTAAACCCAAAACTGCTGATCACCAACCACTTAGATGAATGTGGGAACTAAAGAGCCAGCTGCCACCACCACATACTTCCATGCTTTTGGTTTACACAGCTCCTCATTGTGGTAAGGTTTGCCAAAACTTAAGAGAAACAAAGTCATCTCAACCTGCTGTACTTCACCAACTGTAAGCAACTTCACCAACTGTTTGCAGCAACTTCACACAACTGTATGCAGGAATACTCTATTTTAAGAAAATAAAAGAGATTAAGAGAATTGGGTTAAGTCCTGTGAGGCTGACTTTACGGAGTTCCAAACACTATATCACTGCCCAAAGCCATTCTGTGAAGCTGAACCCTCACTCCCATATTAACTCAATTTTCATGATGCTGGAAGATCTGCTAGAAACATCCTCTTCCATATCTTCATGACAACTTCACAGCTCTACTGTTTGAGCTGCTCACATCCTAACTGAAACAGCTCTTTATTTCTGTGACAATTGGAAAAATACAGAAAATTCTTC